TACCAATAAAATCTTTACAGAAAACAAGATGTCAGAAAATCAATATAAGCACTCATACGAACTCGGTGCCACACTTTTATCAAAATCTGAAGCTAATAGAAAATCTGTTTAGTTCAAAGTTATCAAAAACAATACATAAAAAGCAAAACGTTGCATCCACATTTTGTATAGAAAATTGTACTAAAATATGTGTTCTGTATTTGACAAATGAAAATTCACAGGAATTTGTTTCAGCTATTAGAACAGTGTTCTCCACAATCCAAAATAGCTGGTGGTAATTAGCATAAATTTGTATATTAATTTGCATATCATTTACATACAGCATTTATGTCATGAACTGCAATACACACTAAGTTATTTACTATTCTCTTTTTAATTTAATTGAAACATGTTAGAATTTTTTGAAATACAGATTGGTCACTATCAATATTTACGAAATGCAAAATAGTTGAAATCAGTGATTTATACGTTCACAAATTATTCTGCGTTCATGAAATGCAATTCGAGTAACCTAGAGCAAGTACAAAACATAATTGAGTTATAATGTAGAAAATATACGAGGTGATTTGTCCCCGAAGCCAAAACGGACGATTTGTCATAACATTTTTATTTGTGGCATCAGTACTCGCCCGTGCCGATCGCCGGTAAGATCATGGACGTACTAGAGACGTCCATGGTAAGATGCATTTACGTATTTACGGTCACGATATGTTGCGTTTTCACACGTTGTTTTGGAATTCAAGAAAAAATGCTTAGCAATCGTCAAAATAAAAGAATCTATGTTCTCGAATGATTAGACATAAAAAATGGATAAATTGAAAAAAGTACGTGGAAAAGATAACTAAAATATTATTCAATTACAAATACTCGCGGTAAACTAATCCGGCAGCCATGTTTGATGTTTATTACCGCTTTCCGAATTCAGTACACGAACACCCAGAATGCGCTGTTCCCCTATGCAACTTAGATACTAAATCTTTACAGTGCGAACAGCGGTAGGTGGCAGACGGTCGTTGAATGGGGTAGGCCAAAAAGTCACCTGTTTGCCCTCTCCATGCTGTTTTCACGGTGAAAATCGAGCGAACGTTTTAATTTTTGTTCGAGTTTACATGCAATTTGCTAGTATGTTTGTTTATTTTCTGTGCATATACATTTCGTTCGTATTTACTTCTTTCTTTCGTGATCAGAAGACGATTATTAAAAATACAGCTGTAAATTGAAACCACTTTTGTTGCGTATCGTGAGCAATAAGTGGCAACAATGTCGGGCAACAATGAATTCAGGCGATTGACACATTGCCATGAATACACTTGATAACTGCTTGCAGACTTCCAGTGGTCATTGTTTATGTTTTGACTTTTGAAACAATAGCAAAATAAAGGGTTGGGCAACTACTCTTTTGTTTAGGCTTGGGAAGAGCAGTGCAAACTTTTACAAATAATTTCAGCTGGATGTAGTGTTTGAAGATGTTGATTCTCAGGAGGCAACAGTACTGTTGACTTCGCTCTCCACTGGGCACCAAGTTGATTTCCATACAAAGCAGAGCTTGCAACATGATAGCTATTAATAGAGGTTTTTTTTTTTTACTTTTCATATAATACAGTAGTCACACAATGAATATAATAAAGCAGTTCAGTGAATCATTAATTTTTGAAACACACTTGTACAAAATACCAGCTAAGATTTTCTGTTATCTTGCATGTTTTATGAATCTATTCACATTTTAAATGCAGCACTTTTTTTCTGCAATGAGGCATTTGTTTTTATACTAAAATATCTGAATTACTTTGAATAATGCTGGAAATTATGTCCCTTAAAATATTAAATAAATTAGGCACTAACGTTTTTGTAAGATATTTACATCTATCAAGGACATTCAGTAGACTGCTTTCCCACTGTTTCAACCCAAAAACTTGTTTGTATTCAAAATTAATTATAACAATGCATATTCATATTGAAACAAACTATGATATTAAAAAGGAATAATATTATATAACAAAGGGCAAGGACACAGAGTTCAACTATGTTTGATATTTATTGAATTAGATAGTGTAAAGAAAAGAAAAGCTGTTAAAGTTGGGCCTTTCAACTGCATAGGTATTTCACCTTGTCTGTGACAATGTAATGTAGACCTAGACTTGCTTTATTTTTTTTTAAATAAAAAAAATGAAGAAATTAAAAAATCACTGAAAATAGCAAACATGGGAAAAACTAATATTTTTTTCAAATGTCTGTTTGATTGCTATTCAGAAAATTTTCTCAAATCTGTTAAAAGAAGGACACTTGTGAGCACCTTTCGTGTTTAGTGTTGTATAAAAAAAAGTACAATGAACGGCTTTATTTGAAAGGTTGTGTACAATTATTTCAATCTGAAGATCAAAAGTAGTTGTGTGCATTATTTACCATAGGTTCCCTAATTTAACCATCCTTCTTGCAACATTTCAATTCTTCATGGCATCTAAATTAAAATGCATATTTAGCACAATTTGTTGCAAGTGGCGCCTATTTATGGGTCACTTGCATCTTTCTGGTTTGATGGAATGTGTGGCATCAAGAATTATATAACTTCTGGTTGAGTGTTAATTGGAACAGTTTTTAGGAGGATTGTCAACCAAATGGAACAAGACATATACTGATGAAAAACCAGGTGATTTATTCATGTAAACATTAGAAAAGTTTGAACATAATAACTCATGAAATACAAAACCTGAAAAAAACAGGTGGCAATATGTTTTGTTTAGAAAGTTTTCAAACAAATCGGAATCCCAGAAATTCCTCTTCATCGTCATCACTGTCACTGTTCAATCATTTCTTCATTGGACGGAAGGTTCTCTGAGTCGCTATCGTTGCTGGAGTCGGAAGTGTCGTCGTTCTGATGTTCGCCCTACGCTTCTGTCAAGTTGACTTTCATGTTATCGGCTGCCGATGACTCCACCTCTTTCAGTAGCGTTGGGCATCTGTAAAACTGATCTTCACTGCCGTCCAACGAATTTGTAATCCCAGTAACTTTGAATGACTTCTTCACCATTTCCGTGTTGTCTCTCTGCCATGCACTCGCGACCCAGTCGACAACGTTTTGTCTGGTTGCCGTCTTCGGTCGCTGTTCCTCTACTTATATAAGCACCAATGGTTTATTTAATCAAACATCAAGAGGCTGAAGTTTGGAAGTGCACCTGCCTGGTATAACAGCATGTCGTGGAGCAGAGCAGTGATATTGTCATACATGTAACCACG